ATAAATGGCAGAAGGGACCTGATGCATTTACATTGTGTGTACAGCAACACAATGTTTTGTATCTGTAGAAAATTGCTAATTGCTTAGAAGAGGAATATGATATTACAGTTCAGCTGAAATATATCTTTCATAAGTCACCTATACGATCTGTTTATACTTTGTTGTGACTTATATATCAACTTGCCTTTCCAGAGAAAAAGATGTTGGACACACACTTCAGATTCCTGAAGTTGGAGTCAGTAAGGTAACTCTTGTTCATGTCTGCTGAAAGGTAGATCAGAAGACATTAATGTATTAATAAAGCTTTAAGTGGAAGTGGAAGAATTAAATTTGGAACATCGTGTTAATTTTTTGAAAGAACTTTCAGAATGAGATGTGGTTTTAGCCAGACTTGAATTTAGGAAAAAGGAAAACATACACTGAATGGGAACTGAACAGTGTGTTTTCAAAGTCTTTTGAGTCTTTAATTCTGTAGTTATTAAACTTGAGGACAAACCCTGTTAAGTACTAATGGTATATAAAATTTTGATGTCAGATAGTAAGAATTTCTTTACCAAGTAATGCAATCCTTGCAGTTAATGCTCAGAGCAAAAGGGTTTTTTTTCTTTCAAGCAACTATGGAAATTATGTAGAGGTAGATTGAAAAGTAACAGAATTCCTTTCAATGGTAGATTGAATAGAAATTTTTTTTATGAATTCTGTGCTCTGTTTTGCTAAATACTTCAACACAGATCCTAAATACAGCACTTGTAATAAAATAAAACTGTAGATTGACAAATTGTGTCATCCAAACAAAAAGTTAGTTTAAAAAAAAATCTATATATGCAAGTATCACATGAAACACACTTTACACAGAACAAGAACATTTAACTTGTGCTTCTATTTGCCAGTTTCACGCTGAAGTGTATTTTGACCACGATTTGCAAAATTATGTTCTTGTGGATCAAGGCAGTCAGAATGGAACAGTTGTTAATGGAAATCAGATTCTCCAGGTGAGTACCTGCTGTTTTAGTGCTCTATATATTGCAGAAAACTAATCTTCTGGTAATTTCAAATGTTTTAGGGCAAATCACTAAACAATGCCATTGTATGTCTTCTTTCATACATTAAAGCCTGCCTGGGTTCCCTTCAGATTTTAGGGCCACTTGGAGTACTTAATGTTTGGTTATATTAGGAAAAATCCACTATGGTTACAGCTGCTTGAGTGAAATACCCACTGTAGTTAAACAGTTGCCTACATTTGTGAGACCAAACTGAACTACTGAGTTGTAAGCAGTGTGCATGTAATAGAGGTCCTGTCCTTTATGAGTTTTTAACTTGCCTGCTAAAACTTTCGTTTGCTAGCCTAAAACAAAGTGTGATCCCTACATTCTGGAGCATGGAGATGAGGTGAAGATTGGTGAAACTGTGCTTTCTTTTCATATTCACCCCGGTGGTGATACTTGTGATGGATGTGAACCAGGACAAGTTAGAGCACATCTTCGCCTAGACAAGAAAAAAGAGTCTTCTGGTTAGTCATATTATCACAGGATATATCTTTTATTATGGCTGCTTACTTCATAAAAAAATAACAGTTTGTTCAGTTCTCATATAATTTTCTTGTCAGCTTGGAATAGTTTTACATAATGACATATTTTCTTCTTGGTATATGTGTCTGTGTATAATAATGTCAGAACAAAAATTCTCTCATTTGTCTTATGATTCAAAACATTGTTACATTAGTAATTACAAATTCAATCTTGTGTTTTTCATTTTAGTTTGTCCAGCACTTAGCAAAGAAGAGAGAGAGCTAGTCAGAAGAAAAGCATTAAAACAAATACGGGTAAAATACGGTTTACAGGTGAGTTTACAGTAGAAGTTGATTAAGTTTTTGTAATCTTGTGGTTCTTACCTTTTTTTTTTTTTTTTTAAAGTACTTTGTGATTCCTATTTTAAGGTATAGTATTTGTTGAATAAGGGAAGTTTTCCAACACCTTTAAACTTAGCCTGGTTTGTCTTTTGTACCCTAAATAATTATTCTTTACAAACCTCTGTGAAGGAAGATGATGGTAAGAGGGCATGAACATTCCATTGAAAATTAGAAGATCTTTTCAAAGTGTACGAGAGTCCTCATCCTTTTGAAGTTAAGATTTTGCAAGGCACTTCTGTTTTTATTTCTGTAGATTAAGTTTTCACTGAGTTGCAGTCCTATCTTTCATTTGGAAAGGAAACATAATGAGCAACTAAAAAAATTATTGGAGGAAATGGGAATTTTTTCAGGTTTTTAAGTCCATAGAAGAATACCAGCATAGAATGTTGGTATCTTATATATGTATTCAAATGACTTCTGTTGTAGAGATAATTTTAACATAATCCAGCATTTGTACTAAGTATTCATGTAGAAAACAGAATGCCATCGTTTCTATAAAATTCTTCAGATACCAAAATAATAGTGATACAGAATCTGTAAACATACTTAAGTCTGTCATTTATTCTGGAAAAAAGTAGTTGCTGAGGAGCAGGCTAAGTGGTTATATAAAAAGCCAGTAGCATATCCACATGGTTTTCTGCTTAATATGGAGAGATTGACTCTTCATACCAAGAGAAGATTCAAGAGACTTATTTTATTTACAACTCCTGAGAAATTACTGAACTTGGCAATGTTACATGATGATGGCAGTAATATGGTTTACAAGGTATGCCTGTAAGCTAAGAAAATACTGAGGACTGCAGGTTTTGTTACAAGATTTAGAATTAATAAAAAAGGCGCTGAAGCTCCCATACTTTTGGAGGGAAAAAGGGAAGTTAACAAAAATAAAGTATTTACCCCCAGTCTCTTTGTCTTGATGCAATTAAATCTGCTTGGAAAGAACACAGAATATGAAGACAACAAGGCAGTGAAAAATCCAAAGTACAAAGACAGAGCAGGAAAACGCAGAGAGACCGTTGGAAGTGAAGGAATCTTCCAGAGAGATGACAGTTCAGCTTCTGTTCATATGTAAGTTGGGGGTGGGGGGAGGTATCCCCCATGTCCTTCTCTTGTGAATCTTAAAAAAAGGATCATGAAATAAGGATCATTTTGTTACTAGCATGCAATTTGTTAAATTACAAATTACTTGTATATATTCTGTTAGGAGAGCTAGAAAATTTTAAATTTTTCACACTTCCAATTTCACGTGCTTTTATTTATTAACTCATCAGCTTCCATATAAAAATATATGGAAGGTGAATAGTTAAGGATGGCAGTAAGGGCACTTATATAATTGCCTTAGCTACTCAGAAATGGAAAGAATGCCCCAGCTGTACCAGTGACCTCTTCAATAGTGTCTGTTTTTCAGGTGGTTCAATTTTTATTTTTCCTATTCAGTCCCAGTGATAGTACACATGCAGATTTTTCACCTGCAGCTTCTCTCACTGTCAATGATAGGACAGTGCATTTACATACCTCTCATAGGAAATGCATTTACATACCTCTCAAATGACACTTGATGTTCGTTCAGTTGTTACTTTGCCTCTGTAGCTGTATTTGGGGTTTTTTTTTAAGAAGCATGAACTTGTGGGTGCATATAAATTAATAAAAGGAAGTGTGAGATGATGAAATAGGTGCAGTAGGATGTGATACCACTTTTTCTGTATTGTAATCCATACCCTCTCAACCATGATGTATCTTTTAGCTCCTAAAGCAAACGAGTAGTTCAGGAGTTTTAAGAAAACTGATACTGACCTGAGGCTTGTTCTTCTAGATAGCTCTTGATGGACTGATTCCTGATTTCTATTTATATGTACATTTCTGTTGTTCAGTATTTGAAAGCATACTCTTAATTCTTGTTTATCACTTCTTCAAAGTGAAATCAGCAATAGCAACAAAGGACATAAAATGTTGGAGAAGATGGGATGGAAGAAGGGGGAAGGTCTGGGAAAGGATGGTGGTGGCATGAAGGATCCGGTAGGTCTTTCTGATTTTCACTTAAAACAAAAATCATAGGAACATATTTGTAGTGAAAAGTATCTAATTGTATGCCACTATTCACTTAAAACTTACAAAAAACCTAATTAAGAAGGAATAATCTCAATAGGACTAATCTCAAATTATTTTTTCTTTGACTAATGGGCTATTTTGAAATTTTTCAGTAGTGTTGTCCCTTCACTACACTGTGTTCACTAGGAAACTAAGCAAAGGAAGACAGGCAGCTCCTAGCCACTGAATAATCTCATATTTGAATACAAAGTCTGGAGGAAAATTGGAATAATTTAAGTGATGTGATTTGAAGATCGATTTAGGGTGTATTTCTTTCTCAGAGGCTGATGTAGCACAAAAATCAAGCTAGATGATGGGCATTGAGAGAGGAAAAGCTGGCAGAAGTCACTGTACCCAGCAAGTTGTGGACCTCTGTGGCAACCATGTTAGCCCCATTTTTGTCACCAGAGATTTGCTGTCTTTTGGCAGTAGTGCTGCTCAGAACTACACCATACCCTGTGTTGTCAAACTAGCCAGCATAGGGATCATATGCTGCTCACTTGGTGGGGTGTATTTCATCATAATTTTTGTGGCAGGGGACATTATTCAGGACTCTAGATCATAGTTCCAGAAGTGGTGATGTGGCACATCATTTTCATGGTACTGTTCATGATCTAGGTGTTTTAGAACATGAAAGAGAAGTGCTTGGGGAGAGGGGGTGGAATTTGTATTAGAAAACCAGAATTTGTTGTATTTAGAATACCTAACTTAAAATAATATTTCATGTATTTGACAGATCCAACTGGAAGTACATCAGAAGCATGCAGGTTTAGGTACTAGGAGACCAGCCTCAATTGAAGATGTTCAGCTTGTCCAGAGCAAGAATAAAAAGAACTGGGATAAAGCAAGAGAGAGGTTTGCTGAAAACTTCCAAGACCCTAAATCACAAAGGGATACAGCTAAGAGTACACTTTGGGTTAGAGGGACTGTAGACTGAAGTATCTAGTCCCACAGCAAGGTAATTCCTGAGTATAAATAGTTGGGAGAGAATTTATTTTTATTCTTTTTGCTTTTGCTAAAGCGGGAGTTCAGTTATTTGTAAAATACAGTTGTGGAAAAACTTATTCAAGATTAACTCTGTTATGTTAATTGTTTTTCTGTAGTCTCATGCTTTTATACACATTTTTAATATGATATGAATGGAGTTTAGAGGGATATTCAAATTTAACTACTTGAAAATTATTTTCATCAGAAACAGGAATCTTCCATTGTGTTTCTACACTTCACAGAAAGTTACACAAAACATCTGTTACAGTTAAATTTTATACCTTTAATACTTGAACAGTGGTTTAAAATCAAGATGAATAAATAAATCCCCCAGATCCCTAGTAAAAAAAGTACCATATTGCTGTTTCTTCATGTTTGCCATGAAGTGCTTGACAAGAGGCACACCACTCTTAAATTCATACAGTTCAGTACCAGCTACATGTCTCAGCATACATTTGGCAAAGGAAAAGGGGGGAAAAAGGCTTGTTTTTAAATGATTCATTATTGCTGTTCAAAAATACCATACTCCATGAAATAAACTACCAACATTAGTGAAGAAAACAATGTTCAAAGACAGCTTGTAGCAAAATTTTCTTCTGTGAAGAACTTGTTTGAGATTTGTTTAGTAAATCTGTATCATGCCTTTAAAAGAGGAGGTATGTTTAGAAAAGTGCTGTTTGTATTTATTAATTTCTTTGTCTCGTACATCCATTGCTGGCAATGGAGTTTATGCCAGGAAAAAACATCACAAATAAGTGATTTTTGATGGGGAAGGATTTCCAGACTGAAGCTAGAAGATTGGTATTTATTGACTGTTCCTAAACAGAATAAATCGTCAATTTAAGAAGCATGCTTCTTCAAGCTGTCTTGTCCATATGTTGGATAGGAGTGCTCTTCTAAAATGAGTAAAACTTAATCCCACTTTGTTCAAGTTGAAGTTCTGATACTTGTCCAAGGAAACATGGTAGTCTCACCATCCTACCAGATAATGCACACAACTGTGAAACACTGTGGAGTAAAAGTAGAACAAGTTACCAGCCATTTGTCTTAGTCTAGACACATACAGTATAAAGCAAAAGGTCCAGTCTATTATTTAAATCATGAAACTCGACCAAGTTTACAACCTGAAGCACACCTTACTTTTGCAGAGGTGAAGATAAAATTATACGCACTCAATGCATGGAGCAGCATAACTAAAATGAGGTCGCTCTTTGCCTTTGTAAGCACTTAATTTTCTACTGATGTAGTGACAGACAAGTATATTATTGCTGTTGCAATAATATACAAGTATTGCTGTATTACGTACTTTGCTGTTGCATTCCTTTTTATTGGCAACTTCACATTTTAAGAGGTTTCTAGCTGTGAAAAAATGTTGTTCTGTAAGTTCTGTTCTGTAGTTGTTAAGTTTTAGTTCACCATTTATCTAAAAACCTCTTCCTGCTAGCAGGAGGAAAAAGCCCCTGTATGCTAAAAGAATGTTTTTACCTTTTTTTCTTTTTACTTCTGTAGTCTTTAGAGTAAATAGAACTATAAACCTTAGTGTGGTGTGAGCAGGAACCGTAACTTTCCCTCTCCCCAGTTTTTCAAGTGTAACATCTCTAAGAACAGTCAATCAACAGTTTTTGCATTTTATGAAGTTTTTGAAGTAAGACATTTGCCTTCTGTGAGAGGCATGGTCTCGTGCAATCAAGACTGACTGCTTACAGTGCTGCAGTTTCCTCTTTCAGCAGTTCCATACAAAGGGCTGAACTTAGTCTTGGTTCAGTGTTGGTGCGACAAATCGTATTCTGTCTTGATACTGCCTAGGGAAGTGGAAAAAGGAGTACCATTAATACATAGATTGTTAACAAAACAACTAGAGGTAAGCTGAGTAATCCTCACCAAGCAGTTGTATGCCTTTATTGAGTAGGAACACTTGTATTGAACTAAGTATGACTTTTCGTCCTTTACTTTGGTAACCTCTTACAAATGAGTGAGATGAAAACCACCAGTGGTGTGCAAACCTTATGTGCAAATGCAGTACTGCTTTCCCTCATGTCAGAAGGGGAACATGAGTTGCTATTGGCACTATTATCATTTTGGAGGCTATAACAAGTAAGATACAGCATAAAGTTTAACTGTCTTACCTTCTCAGTCCTCCAGCCATCCTGTTGCCTTTCCCAACTTTCGATATTTCAAACTGGCTTTTTTATACAGCCCAGTTTCAGCAGTTTGCTTTATATAAAAATACTGTTAAGTGACTACATACAATCCTAAAGTTCTTAAGGATAAAACTAATCAATTTTCTGTAGTCCTCCAGTGAATTTTGTCAACTTAGCAAACATATTTATGAAATATAAAATAAAGAGTAGTAGATACATTCTTATCTTAAGAGCTGAACCATCCAACTGGCACATAAAAACATGGAGTGCAATCAGTGTTGTGTGCAAGGCCCTAAACTATCTGTGTATGAACTGTATGTACAAAACATACCATAGGATGAAACCTGAGTGTTTGTTCCAGCAAAGCTGCTGCAGTTGGGTGTGTGAAGTGAGACTGAGGCTTTCTGCCAGCAGATGAATCTACAGCAGCAGGAACAGAGGTCAAAACCAGCATCTTGGCTACCAAGATGACTACTGAAAGGTGCATTCCAATGGATGTTTTTCTTTTTCCAAGTTCTGTGATCTCTTAACCTGAGATTTTTTTTCTCAATGCGTTTCTGATTTCTAAACATGTTTCATCTGCACCTTATTTTTATTCCGCAATGCCTGTCTGGTGATGAACATACCTATGTATGGGTTTACAGCAGCAGTGATGCTTGTTCAGCGCATCGGGGCACCATCCGCTGTCCTGCGGCCATGCCCAAGTGTCGTGGTGTCATTTCAGCGCTGCATACAGGACATGTGCTACCTGTCCTGCCGCTCCTGCAGCTCTATTTTATAGGGCAGGGGGGAACACGGCAGGCTGGGGGCCGGGCTTCCTGCGCTGTGTGTGCCGGGGAGGCCGCGCCCAGCAGCGCCTCCCGCCCGCCGGGATGTGCCCGCTGCCCGCCGGTGCGCTGCTCTGCAGCCCGCGGGCAGCCAAGGGAGTAGGGAGTGCCTCACATTACCAGAGGACGGGTAGACAAACGAAAACCACAGCCACACATAGTAGTTTTAAAGTACACTTAAATGACTTTTTTAACATTTTGACTTACAAATGAACCTAAGAATGAATGAGTGGTGTCTCAGGAGTGATCTTGAGAAAGATGTCAGAAAGAGGCAGTGCGGCAGTAGTCTCGAGCACCTCATTAACACAGAACTGTTAAATTAAATCTGCCATGCCCTGCCTGACTGTTGTAAAAAGCCTTACAGCTCCTGCTCCTCAGGTTACCCTGGCCCTCTCTTTGTCTTCCCTTTTCTGTGCAAGGACAATGTTTTTGCCTTGATAGTCTTCAGGCAAGCATGGTTCCTACTGCAGATGGTGTGCTTTGGCCAAACCTCGACTGCTGAGCTTCGTGGGACTGGAAAGTTTACAGATTGTCAAGCTAGAATGTGTAGCACTCTTGAGTCTTGCACAAAAACCTGTTCATCTCCAACGTTTTCCTCCTTCAGTCCTTTATTTCTTCCTTTGTTGTTTCCTTATTTTTTTCTCTAGCTCATCAGATTTCTTCATTTAGCTGCTTTCTACACATCAAAAATAATGTGATGAGTAAGTAATATTGTGATATTTAAGTTACCACCATCAGATTGCTCACTGGGCTTGTTTTCTCAGCATTTTATCCTCTTTACTCAGCCTGTACCACCACCAGGCAGGAATAGTCTAAAGTGGCCAATGATGTTGAGTAATGTTTATTGTGAATGAAAATTACAGTTTCTGTTCCATAAGTTCCTTGGCAAATCCCTAATCAATTGGTTTGATTCTTCAACTATGCACTAAAAATAATACTATTTTTTCCCTTTTTAGAGGTATTCAAAAAGCAGCCAGTTCTATGTGGCCCTGCTTGAGCAGGGAGTTGGACAAGGTAATCACCAGATGTTATTTCCAACCTCAGCTGCTTTGCAGCTCTGTGGTTATCACAGAAGGTGCAATGAAGAACTGATTGGCATTTGGATATTGCAGGGGTAGAGGCTGTAGGCATATTAGGCAAGCAGAAGGAAGTACTGAACTCACAATAAAACCAACAAAGACCCCAAGGAGAATGGGAATTGAAGACTTGGCAGCAAGGAAAAATCTGCTGACCACTCTACTTTTCACCAGCTATCTTTGGAGCTGGGATTCATGATCCTACAGAGGTTATGTTGCAAGAACAAAAAGCATGTGATGAGTCTGACTGGTAAAGATTAAACCAGGGTTTTGGAAATGGCTTGGCAGGCTGGCAAGTCCAGCATTCCTCTACTGAGCATAGCAAAGAAGTATAGCTTAAAAAAAAAAAAAAAAAAAAAAAAAAGTTGATACAATCAGTAAGCGGCACAGCAGTGGACCATTTAGGTTTTTAAATGCTGCCACATGGTTTTTAAAGACAGATTCTCCATTGTGTAACACTGTAAAAAGTTGTCGTGTTCCCAAACATTTGCTTAGCAGCAGGTCTGAGTGCAACTATAGGTGCACTCATCCTCCATAAAGACAGTGGCAGGAAAGACCCCACTGAGGCATACCTGGGATGTGTTCTCTGTTTGGAAGACTTTCTGAGAGACTTTCTGACCTCTGTTGATCAAGAAGTTTGGGGTTTTTGGTTATGATTGACACAAGACAGCAGAGCTTCTGTCTAGGTGTGTTACTTGACAATGAACAATTGTACTCTACCACAAAGTCAATATGATGTGAACATGGTAACCAGGGGGCCACTAGAAGTGGGCTTCTTCTCTTTGTTCAGGTTGAGCACAACATAACTGGGTGGCAAGTCCCCTATCCAACAGTTCAGAGCTTTTTAAAGCCCTTGATAAGAAGGAGGGTATAACTGGGGTGTTCTTGAAAATAAGAATTTTTTAATGCAGTAGTTCCATTTTTGATTTTACCATATAAATGCTTCATTTGAGACTTTTACCTTTATACAATAAAGCCTTGACTTGGAAATTGCTCACAGTACACAAGTTCCCTAAAATAGCTTTATCCACTGTTTGTCTTTAGTGTATTTGAAGAAGGGTATATCTTCTGATGAATTTGTAATATGTGGGGCTTTGTTACAAACTGAGATACTTTTTATATGCTTTTACTTGATTGGGAAATACATATGAAAGATGACTGTGATTCTCAGCTTTACCTGTTTTCCCTCATGTCTGAACATATAGCACCCTGCAGACACCCTGCCATTTGGATGATGATTGAAGTCTGCACCTTGCTTGGTCAAATGCCCATTTACATTAAATTTTGCCACAATTTACATTGCCCATTACATTTGCCCATTTACATTGAATAAAGCCAGTGCTGAGTGTAAACTGAATGTGGTTTTAATGCTTGTAACCTTTCACACTTTGGAAGTATGAACAAGTTGCTACATTCCTTCTTCCTCAGGTCTTCTGCAAAATCCATGTCTGTTTATTTGGAGTTATTTGAGTGATGGTGAGGCATTACAAAAATGTTTAAACAACTGTCTACAACATGTGACATAATGCTCACCTCTTTCTTCACTGTCCAGTGACTTGCATTCAGTGATGTATTTTCTTTCCCCTAGACACTGCTGACACCTGGCTACAGTAATATGCCAATTCCCAGTTACTGCATTAAAACTAACGAACTGTTGAAGCCTAGATAAATCACTTTAGTCATTACAAATAAAGATTTAAAAGGCTTAACTGAGTGTAGGGCTCATTTTTAAAATGCTGCAGTAGATGTGTTATCAGGAGACCTTTAAGTTGAGATCTCAGTATACTCCAAAGGCTTCCTGTAACAGCTGGCAGGATTATTAATAGCTGCCACTGCTGATTTAGGTACAGAGTATGTTTTCTTGGGGGATTTTAACTAATGAGTCATGTCATTTTGTTCACCATCGTTTTTATTTGTTTTGCTTTGAAAGAAACAAGTTTCTGTTCACTAGATGGTGTGCCTGGGTTTGACAGCTCAAAAGAGCAACCTCCAGATTCTGGAATGTATGGATGGGAGCTCCAAGTGGGATTTCAACCTGACTTCAGTGAGTGCACCCTGGCCGCCATCACCTAATGATCTGGCTGCTGAAGCTCATAAGCCAGTGTTACTGAATAGATAATGGCTTGGATGCTGGTACAGAACTCTGCACACACATACACCTGCCCCAGCTCTTCAAGCTGGAGGAGAAAAAATGATTGTGTCAGATTTGCAGGAACAAAGTAGTGGTTTGATGCTGATTTGATGCCAAGCACCCACCAAAGCCACACTCTCACTCCCCTCTGCCAGTGGACAGGAGAGAGAAAATACAGCAAAGTGTTTATGGGTTGAGATAAGAAGTCACTCACCAAATAATGTTGCAGGCAAAACAGGCAGAACTTCGGGATATTACTTGAATTGATTACTAAAAAAAATCAGAGCAGGGTAATAAAGACTAAGATCTTAAAAACTCCTTCCACACACCTCTCCCTCTTTTCCAAACTCTACTTCCTCCCTTTGCAGGGAGACAGGAAATCGGGGTTACAGCAAGTTCATCACAAGTTGTTCCTGCCACTGCACAGGGAGAGAGGTTCTTCCTCTGCTCCCCTATGGGGTCCCTCCCACAGGAGACAGTTTTCCACAAACTCACCCAATGTGAGTCCATCCTACAGGCAGTGGTTCTCCATTAATTGCTCCAGCACGGGTCCCTTTTCACAGGGTGCGGTCCTTCAGGCACAGTCTGCTCCAATGTGGGTCCTTAACAGGGACACAAGTCCTACCACGAAACCTGCTCCAGTGTGACAGCCTCTCTGGGTTCACAGGTCTCTGCCAGGACTGTGCTCCAACAAGTTTCACAGGCTTCTTTCAGGCATTCACCTGCTCTGATGAGTGACTCTTCCCAGGGCTGCAGTTGGGTCTCT